GGCGTCCTTCCCCTTTTTCCAACATACTCACAGGGTCCCTCACCACCTTCCCCCACACCTCCACCCACTACCCAACCACCCCTCATAACCCCTTCGACCCTCACCCACAATACACCCGCAACCACCACCCACACTCACAACTAACCCGAACCACCCTATACCCACAACATCTCCAGCCCGATCCATTTTGGGTCCTTCCCCGCCACCCCCGAATCACCACCGCCAGTGCCACCCCCCAATACTCATCCCATGTTAACCTGTGGCAAAGCCGGTATCTTTAAACCCAAAACCTTTCAGGCTACCATACTACCAAATACACCCCTTCTCGATAGTGAACCAACAACCTACTCTGTTGCCTCAAAAAATGCTTATTGGCGTCATGCTATGGATGACGAGTTTAAGGCTTTGAGTGATCAGAAAACTTGGGTTCTTGTACCTAAGCCCCATGGGCGGCACCCAGTGGGCTGTAAATGGGTGTACAAAATTAAACACAATGCAGATGACAGTATTTCCAGGTACAAGGCTTGTTTGGTTGCTAAAGGCTACAATCAGGAGCATGGGCTTGATTACTCCGAGACATTCAGTCCTATTATTCGGCAGGAAACCATTTGCCTGGTACTGTCACTTGCCGTGCGCAACAATTGGCTCATTAATCAGTTGGATGTTTCCAATGCTTTTCTTCATGGCATGCTTGATGAAACTATCTACATGACACAACCACCGGGCTATGTTGATCCCCGCTTCCCTCAACATGTTTGCAAACTCCAGAAGTCACTGTATGGACTCAAGCAAGCCCCCCGTGTGTGGTACACACGTCTGAAAACGTTCGTCCGGAGACTCGGCTTCATGTGTTGCGTACATAACACGAGTCTGTTTACTCGACATTCAGCACATGGTACAGTCATTCTTCTTGTCTATGTAGATGATATCATTACTACAGGCTCTACTGCAGCTCCCATTCAGGATGTCATTCGAGCTATGCATACTACCTTCAAAATGAAGGACCTTGGCCCGTTACATTATTTTCTGGGAATGGAGGTTTCTCAGACAGGCAGCGGCTTGTTTCTTCATCAGTCAAAGTATGCTCGAGATCTGTTGCAGAAAGCTGGACTGGAAAAATGCACCAGTCAACCAACACCGATGGCAGTCTCTTCGTCTACGAATGGAGCCGACACACCCTTTGACGATATCACCCACTTCCGCAGCCTCATTGGGGCTCTACAGTATCTGGCCATTACCCGTCCTGACATCCAGTTTGCTGTCAACCGAGTTGCTCAGCGCATGCATCAACCAAGTGAACATGATTACCATTGTCTAAAACGCATTCTGAGGTACATTTTTGGCACTCTTGGTCGTGGTTTACTCATTCGACCCGGGGACTTGGAGCTTCGGGGTTTCTCAGATTCAGATTGGGCGAATGATAAAAATGACAGAAAATCTACATCGGGGTTTCTCATTTTTTTGGGGCCGAACCTGATGTCCTAGTGTACAAAAAATTAACCCAAGGTCTCTCGGTCCTCGACTGAAGTTGATACCGCGCCCTTGCTCTTCTTGCTGCTGAGACCATGTGGGTCACATATATTCTTCGCGAACTCCGCGCCACTCACACTGTTCCTGCTCTCTATTGTGACAACAAATCAACCATCTGTGCGGCTAAGAATTCGGTCCTACACACCAGAATGAAGCATGTTGATATCGATTGTCTCTTTGTTCGCGATGAAGTTCAGGTCGGCACCATGACAGTGCAGTATGTACCCACTGAAGAACAACCTGCTGATACTCTCACCAAACTTCTCCCGAGCCGACAGCACGATTACCTCAGCTCCAAGCTTCCGTTTGCTTCCGCTCAGCTCAGCTTGAGGGGGGATAATAATAGATTGTATTAAATAAATAGTATAAAATAATATTAGTATTTACTGTGTACTAATCCTAGTCCTATTAGGATTAGTACTCCTTCCTATATCTCCTATATATATATCCCATGTATTCCCTTATTAGGTTAACACTTTAATACAATCAATATTCCTTCAAATTCAACAACCTTAAGCTTCCCCTACTGCCATGACAAACAACGAACCTTTCTTTTCTCCCATAAGAACAACATCGGCAGATATGTTCTTCATTGAATCCTGGATCTTCACATCATTTGGACCAAACAATATATATTTTCCAGAATTAGTGACTTGAGAAACTGAAACTAAGTTTCTGTTCAAGCATGGAGCAGGAAATACATCGTTCAACTTGACAACCCCTATATCTCCAGCGTCAATCTTTAACACTCCTCCATTCGCTACTAGATATGTCGAGTTATCTACTGTAACAACTACTCGTTCTCTTTTATGTTGCAACTTTGAAAGAAAAGAATTACTTCCTGTTACATGATGTGAGCAACAAGAATCAAGGACGCATTCTTGTTTGCAGTTGTCACTATGGTAGAGAGCTTGAACCAGTTCAACATCATCGTTCCTCCGTTCAGTAACCTCAATAGTGAAGCACTACTCCCATTTGAGTTTCTCATTTGCATCATTTTCACTTGTAATATTTTCTTTTGAGAGCTCCACTCTACAATATTTTTGATGTGTCCAATTTTATCGCATCTGTAGCACTTCCTATTATCAAAGTTGCCACCAGTAGTTTTTTCACCATTTGATTTTTTTTTCATTTTTTCTACTTTCAAATGATGTGTTTTTCTTTTTATTCTTATCCCTTGAAAAGAGAGTTGCATATCGTTCAAGGTTTCTTTCCATTTGCTTTGCCAATGCCTTCAATTGAAGGTTGCTTTGTCTAACCCTGAATGGAGGTGACGAATGGATTATACTACTTCTTCAATCCTAGAATATGAAATCGTCGCAATCTTGCTTCACCAATCTTCTCATCCGGATCTAATTCTGAAATATCAGCACAAATAGCTTTTGCTCGCAAGAAATATATAGAAATAGACATGCCTCCCCGTGTAGGATTGCCAATTCATTTTCTAACAGTTATAGCCTTGCGGTGTTCTTTTTAGTAAACAATCTCTCAAGTATTTCCCAAACTTCTTTTGGTGAACTAACATCACGTACATGATCGATGAGCTCTTTTCCAACTGATGTTCTCAAAGCAAAGAGTGTTTTACCACATTTAATCTTCCATTTTCTCTGTGGTTCTGAATTTTCTGGAGTATTTGTTGGAATCTCTACTTAAGCACTAGCAATAAGATCCCACAGGTCTTGACCTTGAAGGTAAGCCTCCATACACATTCTCAAGTACTTGCAGTTTGTTCCAACAAGCTTCTCGACACAAACTGTGCGTTAGAACTATTTCCCCCATTTGCTGACTCCATACTCAACAAACTTTTTCTATGCAACTTTCAATCTCCTCCAACAAGACTTTAAAAACTTGATAGAGAAGAAGAAGGAAAGAATGTTCAAGCAAATAACCTGGCTCTTGATACCATAAAATAAAAAGCAACACGCAGAGAAAAGAATGAACAAGTGCAGCAGTTGAACAGGAATTGAAATAGAGAAGAACTTTATTTTGCTTATATATGCAATAACTTCTAACCTCTACAACAACTCTAAGTCTCTAACAAATAAGACTCCTAGCCTAATAATGTGCTTTTCAAATCCACATCAATAATACACTGTATTTATAATCCAAACAACATACTATATTTATTCATTGTATTATATAATAATATTTATTATGCATGATTTATAACGTATAGTATATAAGTAGATCCAATATTATTTTTATTAGAACATGCATAATGTAACTTATATGTGTATGTATATCTTATATATACCTACCTTAATTATAACAAACTCATATATAACTAGGTTTATTAAAGTGATGATAAATTTACTATGTGTGAAGATAAAACTGTAGGCAAAAAGTATGGACAAAATTATTTTTTACTTTGGCTATGAGTTCCATGAAAAGAACATTATTTAATATATAGTATTTTAATATGTGACTGTGTATGACATGTGTTCTTGCTAATTAATGGAACCTGAAAATCCAATATATTGATAAAATTAACACTCGGTAGTGAATAACCGCGTCAAGACTAGAAGATTAAATTTTATCCAATAATTGCTAAATATATTTTATTAAAATAAATAAATTAAGATATTGAATAATGATTTTAAGGATAATACATAAGTATCCTTTCAATCTATGTCCGAAATCTCACAGACACACTTATACTATACTAAGGTCCTATTATTTCCTGAATTTATTTTATTAATAATTTTCTAGCCCTTTTCGATTTACGTGACACTATCTTATGAGCCCAATGCTGGTTGATTATTATTTTTTCAATGTAGTGCCAAGTAGACCGAAAGGGGTAGAAATTACTTGTAAAATAAGTTCAAGATGGTAATTGGAACTTAGCATAGTGTGTCTCTGAAATTTCGGACATATATTGAAGATGTAATTGTGCATTTTCCCATGATTTTATGGAAAGCAATCTGTAGTCTTATTTTTCTTTTTTTTTTTGGATACTATCGATTATGGTAAATTATAAAAATTTCTTCTATTGCTAATGCATTATGTTTTTTTCCATAAATAACTATAACTAATTTATACAAGAGGAAAAAAATGAGCATTCAATTGAATCTTCAAAGATGGTTGATAAACATCTGAACAAGAAGTCAATGCTTTTCAATGAAGTTCTCAAAGGTATTTTTTTTCTATTTTGTGTACGTGTGTGTTATATTTGACAACTTAAGCCAGTTTCATCCAATTTTATAAATTCAGGATCAAGAGTTGTGGAACCATCAAAAGAAGAAAAATTGATGAATTGATGATTGGGAACAAGTGAGTTGACGTGTTACTATTTGAGTTTATACATTCAACTTGTTGTTGGTTTGACTAAGTATATATGCGTGCTCTATTTCTATGGATAAAATGTGTTTTTCCCTATTTATGTTCTATCATTTCTCGAAGAAGAATAGCATCATCATTTAATTTACAAAGATCAAATCCTTCTATTATGATAATTGTGAAACAATTCGAAAAAAAAAAAAACAAGCCTAAGATTTAATCTTTTTTTCATACCAAACACACACCTATTGGTAAACTTTAGTAGAACAAGAATGCATCTCTTTTAAACATTAATTGTCTCAACCACAAAAATATTAAAATTACGAGTCGGTGAAAAATATATGATCCTTATACCAGTTTTATAGCTTCACTGAATAGTTAAAAATTCTTGAAGTGCTTGCCTTATTAGTTTCTCTCTCATGTTTCAACTGACAAAGGACTTAGATTCTTTCTCTTGTTAAAATTTTCTCATCTTTTTATACTCTATTTTTATTTTGGTAATAGAAGATAATATAAATTAACAAGCTTTCTAGTTTATCATTATAAAACTTATGGTGATAATTATATAACATTTCAATACTTAAAAAAGGGGCGTGATAGAATTTTCTTATCTATCTAGGCCATGGATGTTCACTCTGAAGAGAATAAACTTGTGGAAATTTTTCTACAGTAGGTTGCCTGTACGGTCTCTTCTTCAATTTAAATGTGTTTCAAAACTTTGGGGTACACTGATTAATGAGTCATATTTCAAGAAGAAGAATCTCACTCATGCCAAGAATGACAAAACTTTCCAAAAATTTCTGTTCTTCAAATTGCGCCCTAAGAAGTCTATTTTCAATTTATTGTTGTTCGATATCATCGGTGCAATTTCTAGAGGATATACGGGAACTAAATTTCCCTTTAAATATTGAACCACGACATTGCATAGTCTATTGTTGTTGTGATGGATTGGTTATTATCAATGTTCATGAAGATAGTGTTGAACGCCAAATACTTTTGCTATAGAATCCCTCCACTGGAGAATCAATTGTACTTTCCACTCCAGAATTCCCAATGGAGGAATTTTCATGTTTGGGAATGTGTTTTGACTCGACCTGTAATGATTATAAGTTACTTAAAATTCCCAATGGTGTAAGTAATCATAGCAGAGTACCTTGTGAAATTCTATCTTGGAGAAATTGTTGAATATCCTTGTGACATTTGCTATATGGTGCATGGTATGCATTTTTGGCATTTATACATGATGCATTTCATTGGGTTGGTAAATCAAAAAATCATTTTGTGGTTTCATTTGATATTTCCCATGAAGTGTATGGAGAAATATCATTACCAAAGGAAATAAGGTTGAGCAGCATTAATATTGGCATTTCAGTTTTGGATGGAATGTTGTGTGCTTATACTAATGCGTATATTCAGGGGAACCGCACTTTTATGTTATGGGTTATCAATAAGTATGGTCTTGAGGAATCTTGGCATAGAATATTTCTTATAGCAAATCCTGATATATGTATAGCCGCACCAAAATATAGATTTGTAGATGGTGAAATGTTATTTTGATGCTTAAATTGTGAATCTGGCGAAAACACATACAAAACAGAAAGAGGTTCCTTTACATTGTTGCCTCGTGGTATCCTTCGGAATGGATTTGCTTTTACAGAAAGTTTGGTCTCTCCAAGATTACTTACTTCGTAGGTTTATTGAAATACTGTCTTCGTTTTTTTTATCAAGTTGTTGTCTCTTATTTTTTTTTGTTAATTGATTGATCGCAAACTTTTCTATTTCAAGCAATATTTAACGAAGCTTTATTTATTTATTTCAACTTTTATTTTCATAACTTTATCTATTTAGTGTTGCAAGGCAAAGAACATGAGCCATTTATTTTCTAAGAAAGAAGTGGTTAAATAAATTAATATCAGCTAGTAGGGAGTATGTTGTAATCATGTAGTAAGTTTACTTTAGTGTTATGTTTTTATAGGACCGTATCGATCAGAAATCTTTAATATTACTCTTACTACTGTGTATACACATAAATAGATTCCTCTCTAGCTATAATATCTTAATTAAAAAACTCTCTTTGTGCCAAGTATAAATTAAAGTTAGAAAAAGTATTGAAATAGTATCACATGGTTTCGATGCTTTAGAAAAATTCTAAATATAGTTGCTCAGTTAAAATTATCATGGTCAATCACAAGAGATGATACAAACTTGACTTTATATGAGACCTCATGGGAATATCTTTATTTCTAGTTTTGGGTCACATGCATTGAACATGTATTCTGTTCTAATTAATGAGGTTTTGAGATAATATAAATGACATTAGAATGTCTAAATATAAATATATGAAATCTGAGGAAAATATGATAATACAAAATGATGAGTACATCGTTGTTAGATACTTTTACAAATTAGCATAAACATTTCATGGAAAGTATTATATTCAGAATATTTTAATAGCTATCTTCGAGGATAAAATAAAGTTTTGTGCTCCACAAATTAATCTTTGACCAATTTATATTCAGAAGCGATGTCCTTCCCTTCTCGAATTCACGATTGGCCCAACTTGACGAAATCAACATTGAATTGGTATAAGCTTTTAATATAATAATACTGAAGATTATATTTGTATGTTCTTATAACTTATTATGTCACACCCCAAATCCAGAGGGGCCCCACCGGCATCTGCCTCACTTAAGTGAAAAACAAAAAAAAAATAGCGCTACCTACAACAAGTCAAGGCAGATGAACAACACACAACCTTCATAATATAAATACAAAGAGTAACAGAGTAGACCTACAATGTCTCTTTAAATCACAAGTTGAATGAAATCCAGCAAGACATCTATCTATATCTATTTATCTACCTATTCTATACTATCTTAGAAGCATTAACACCAAAATAGGAATGTTACATTATTGTAATACCCCTAACTTAAACATAGCCAACCTAAAAACAACTCGTGCTATTTAGGTGAATAGTTACAAACTCCTACTCAAAGAGTTCTTACTTTAACATCTCACTTTGTGGATGAGCACCAATGTTAAGACAATCAAACGTTCTCAGTCTTCCAGAAATGATGCAACTATTCGCTTCTCTATCTATAACACATCCAAACGTTGCCTATTGTGCCCCATTACATCGGCTAATCCAAAGGTACAATCTTAGTAAATCAAACCTCCTTCTACATTGTTGTTTGTTTCCCTTTATGCCTAGATTTTTAAAGTTAACAGTGTTCCTTCTCCATCGAAATACAATAAAAGATTGGATTAGGCTTTCATGTGAATTCTCTCCAACATTAACGAGTAGTAAATTTCTACCTATTTACTTCATTATCATGTTTATGTACTTCATAGGTTAACTCACCTAACTACGTGCAGACATGACAAGGATTTGGGCATTGGTCTTGGCGTGTATGTGGCAAAACAGTGAATTTGTGCAACTAAGAGTTAGTTAGCAGCAAGAATTTCAAGATGCTTGAGTGATGGCAAGGCAGCTTGGACGCACAAGGCTTACGTGTGGGCAGATTCGCCAGCAAGACAAAGCAGGGTGTTTGCTTGACTAGGCAAGGTTGTGGACTTGGCATTGGCAAGACAAAAGCTGAAATAAAACTAAGTGTTGGAAGCATGTTGAAATATTCTAAGTATTGGAAGCAGGCTGAAAATAATTTCAAGTGTTGGAATAAGCTGAAATAATCTAAGTGTTGGAATAGGTTGAAATATTTTAAGTGTTAGAATGGTTGATTTCGGTTATGCTTTAGAATGTATTTTTGAATTCGGAAATATTCTATTTGTTAGAATATTTAGTGCTAGAACTTAGTTTAAATTCCGCAAAGACAAGTGTTAGACACATGTCAAATGTAACCGCTGATGTAATTGTCTTGTACAAAAAAGTTTATAGGGTGGAAATTCGTCTAAGGCAAAGGATGATGATTCTGGCCTTAGATTAATTTGTGAAGCCTTTGTAGGTTGTCAGGGGGTTATGGGGGGCAGGAGCCCCCCATCCGAAGGCGGGGTTCGGGGCAGCACGCGGACCTAAATTTTAGGCTCTACTATTTATTCTCTATGTGTTGAATGCCTTGAATTGGACCCGCTACAAACAGAAAGGACGGGGGTCGCTATGGCAAACCCTATTCTGTAATTCTGTTTTTGCCTCTCCATAATAAAACTGCTCCCTCTCTTCCCGTGGACGTAGCCAATTTATTGGTGAACCACGTAAATCTGTTGTTTTGTTTTTCGCGTTTTATATTTTCGCGTATTATCTCAAATTCCGCACAACACTATGTATTCTCTGTAACTAAAAATACTCTGATTTATTAATATAAATATACCTCACCGCCGTGAAAGTTTACTCACGGGGTGTTACCACGAAATATTGGGTTTTCTCTTTCGCTCTCTAGATCTCTCATCTCTTTCTCTTGAAAGTTCTTGTGTTCTTCATTCATCAAGTGTGTGTGCGTGAATTCAATCCTAACAGCCTTGTCCTTTATTGATTTGATATTAATACTAGGTTGAGAAGAGTTTCCGTATGTTGGTTGTGTTGTTTCTTTGATATTTTCTTAAGAAAAACTAAGTTAAGTATTTCTATACTTAGCCAAAATCGTGTGTGTGTAAGACTGAAGTTTGCAAGAGTTGTAGACTGTCTGGGAGTGGTGTTAGATAAAAAAAATCGCCCTTCTTTCAATTGGTATCATAGTGCGGTTAAAATGATGGTGACGGACGCAAAACTTCGAGAAATAGTGCGTAGGGTTGAAGCCTTCGTTGAGATCACTAATGAAAGAATGGATGATACAGTGTTGGTGGATCTCCTGACGCACATTATTAACTTGAGACTGGACGCTGACAAAGTTTGAGATGAAGTTCGTGTGTATCAGAGAGATGTTGATGAACACATGGCTGAAAACTTGAAATTTCGTGAGGCTATGATGGTACAATTTGAGGGACTCTAAAAGGATAATGAAAACCTTTGCGCAAAAAAAATTGTATTGTGTCGGATCGTGGCAGCGTCAGGGCTGACTCAACAAAATTGGACTCCTAATGTCAAACCTTAATATTTTATTATTTTTTTTCAAAAAAATAATAATAATGTACTATATATTTATGTAAGGCCAAATACATAAACAGATCCCTAAACTTGTTGGATTTCCCCCTCATATACCTCAATTATGTTATTTCTCTATTAAATCACCCATAATTTGTTCGTTTTTGAACATCGTTGGGTGATAGTGGAACCAAATTTTTTTAGGGGTATTAATAGAGGATACACATGTTGTTCCAATATTCATTAGTCCAACTGGTAGTGAAAAAGTTCGAGAATAATTGTGTTTTACTTCAAGTCATTTGAACACATTAGAAAACAATGAGACTAACACACATTTTGTCTTCATTCCTTCAATCAAAATCATTATAATACGCAATTGAAAGCATTTACAATATTAAAAAAAGTGATCAAAATCAACCAACAGTGTTTATAATGAACAAATTATGAGTGGTTCAATGATTCAATAGGAAAACGGTGTAGTTGAGGTACCTGAAGGGAAAAACCTAACAAGTTCAGGGATCTATTGGTGAGTTCGGACTGTATTTAAAATCTATGTTTTTTGCCTTTTTAGATATGAAGTTATTAATTACTCTTTTAAAATAATTGTTTCATTAATTCCTTTTCAATTGATAAAATAGCTAATACATTAAATCTCACATTGTTGATATGAGATAAGATTTTATCAATTTTAGTTTCAAAAAACATTTTTCACCCGAGGCAATAGTTAAAGGAATTGCTAATATCAATATTCTATGAGCAATATATGCATTAGGAAAAGAATCAAGTCTTTTTATTTAATTGAGTATTTTCATTAAATCAGTATGTTCCACTTGTATTATTTCTCATAATAACTAAAATGGAAATAAATATACTTTTTTTTGTAAGTAAAATTTTATTGACCAGGTAAACGTTGCAGAACAAGAAAATTAGCCGGTATGGACATAAGCTCCATCCTTGCTAAACTAACTTCCATATCTACTAGCTATTCTTATGGGTAGTTATTCAAATTGCATAATCTAGTAGCTATTCTAGAATACCTTATACCTCTCCCATGGATTTCTTGAATTATCCTTCTGATCAAGCATCCTGTTGCCTGATGTTTTTGTTGAAATATCCTAGCATTACACTCTAACCAAATATGATAAATGGTGCTTGCCATTGTCATACTATACACAAGTGTCCTACTGCTTCATCCTTTCATGTATTTCACCGCCCATTGTATCTCATTAATCCAATTCATTGCACTTCTTGTTATGCCTTGCCACTGCAGTGTACCCCTCCACATCTCTTCTGCATATGCATATTGGAAGAAAATATGATCATGATCTTTATC